CACCATGAAAATAATATTTAATTGACACCATAATCGAATAAAATTTTTTGGTACCACAATCGAATGAAATCCATTTGGTAACACAATCGAATAAAAGTTATTTGGTACCACAGTCGAATAAAATTCATTTGGTACCACAACAAAATAAAATTTATTTGGTACCACAATCGAATAAAATTCATTTGGTAACAATCAAATAAAAGTTATTTGGTACTACAATCAAATAAAATTTATTTGGTACCAGCATGAAAATAATATTTAATTGACACCATAATCGAATAAAAGTTATATGGTACTAAAATCAAATAAAATTTATTTGGTACCACCATGAAAATAAAATTTATTTAACACCATAATCGATTAAAATTTCTTTGGTACCACAATCGAATGCAATTTATCTGGTACCACAATCGAATAAAATCCATTTGGTAACACAATCGAATTAAATTTATTTGGTACCACAATCAAATAAATGTTATTTGGTACCACAGTGGTACCACAAAAATTCTTTGGTACCACAATATAATATAATTCATTTGGTTCTACATGAGGTAAAAGTTATTTGATACCACAATCGAATAAGATTTATCTAGTACCACGATCGAATAAAATTTATCTGGTACCATAATCGAATAAAAGTTATTTGGTACCACTGTAGAAACAGATTTGTTTGGTACCAAAATATATTAATTATTTGGTACCACAATAAAATTAAAGTAAATTTATTTGCTTCCAGAATTACTTAAAATTTATTGGGTACCATATTTAATTACAATTATTTGGTTCCATAATAAAATAAAATTGATTTGGTACCAGAAGATAATATAAGGTTATTAAATTATGGTGCCAAATAATTTTACTTTAATTTGCTACCAAAGAAATTTAATTTAATGTTGTGAAAAATAAATTTTATTCTATTCTGGTAGCAAATAAATTAATTTTATTGTGGTAGCAAATAAATTGTATTCTATTATGGTAATAATTAAATTTTCATGTGGTACCAAGTAAATAAAATTTTCTTGTGGTACGAAATAAATTTTATTCTATTGTGGTACCAAGTAATTATAATTTAATGTGTCACGAAATAAATTTTATTCAATTATGGTTCTTAAATAATTTTGATTACATAAGGGTACAAAAACAATTTAATTATAAGTTGGAACCAAATAAGTTATTTTCTATTGTTATACCAAATCTATAAATTTTATTCGGATACCAAATAAATTTAATATTAATTTTTTTATTTATTTTTTATATTGAATATTACATCATTCATTATTACATTATCATAATATAATAATAATTATTATTATAGTATTATAAAATATTATAATTATCGTAAATAAATTATTATTAAATTGTAAAATAATTTATTTCAATTCAAGATTAGTTTAAAAATTTGTTTAACCTACCTACTATTACAAAAAGTGTAAATAGTTAAAGAAAATATTTAATTTGTTGTCTTATTTTACATAATTATTATTGAATGTGCGCTGAGCACATATTACAGATATGTATGCACAAGGTTCATATATTTGTTCCCAGTGCTACTGAACTATTTACCTACTTCTTCTCTTTTCTGTTTCCTTCTTCTTTAAATATTGAGAAAAAACAAAAAACACTGCCACACTTATAAATTCCGTTGATTTATTTTGAAACTAACTGAACAAATATATTACATGTTTGTTTCTTATAAAGAAATATTTATCCATTAAAACATTTTTTTAATTGAAATTTTTTTCACTCAAATTAAAAAAATGTTCAATTCAAATCTTTTTAATTGAAAGTTTTTCTATAAGTATAGAATATTTTTTTAATTAAAATTTTTATTGGAATTTTTTTATTGAAATTTTGTCTAATCGCAATTATTTTCAATTAAAATTTTTTTAATTGAAATTTTTATAATTGAAATTTTTTGTAATTAAAATTTTTTAATTTAAACTTTTTTTAATTATTTATTTAAACTTTTTTAATTGAAATTTTGTCTAATGGAAATTATTTTCAATTTAAATTTTTTTTAATTAAAATTCTTTTCTAATTGAAATATTTTTTAAATGAAATTTTTTTTCAATTGAAAGTTATCAAATATTAAACATTGTTTTATAAATAAAATTTTTTTTTAAATTACATTTTTTTTAACTCAAAAGAAAAATTCTTTTAAGCTTAATTTTTAAATTTAATTTGCCTTCGATTCTCACTATGATTTATAAAAAAAAATTTGTAATTCCTTTACGTAAATCAGTGTATAAAATGAAATTTGAAACTAAAGAAATGAAATTTGTTTTTATGGCTCACCGCAGTGCGAGAAAAAAAAACGTCAGAGCAAAGTAATTTATGCTAATTATATATATTTGAGATGATGATAAATAATAATTCTATAAAATAAAACATTTGACATTTTCATTTTCTACTTAATTATAACGTACAGGTGGTGATTATTGGCATTGATTGGATGTTATCTTTCACGTTTTTTCTAATTCTCACACTGAATAATTAACAAAACAATCAATATGGTGTGTTTACTACTTTGTTGTATAAATTATATATCTTAAAACATCATCATATGAAGGATTTATTTCAAAAGAAAATTTTTAATTCTCCCTTTCTTCTCTCGCATTGACCTTTAAAACTTTAATTAAAAAGCAATAATAAAATTCTCTTAATTAAAATTAAGGTGCAATCAAATTACAATTAAAAAATTGCAAATGAAAGTTGGATGAATTAAAAAAATTTAATTTTAATTTCCTTTGTAAAATTTTATACTTTTTTTATATAGTTATATACAAACTTTATAATTAGACTTTTTACAAAGTTTGTAATTAAACTTTCTAAAAGCTTTAGTTAAACTTTCTAACAACTTTAATTAACATTTTCTTTTTAGTTTTAATTGAATTTTTTTTCAATTTAATCAAAATTTTAGTTTATAAAAATTAAAGGTATTTTTTCTTTTTTAATGAACACTATAAATTTTTTGAACTAAATTATTTAGTTACGTGTAAGTTGGTCAATTTTATGAAATTAAATTAGAAACTAACAGTTAATGAGGGGAAAGAATAAAAAAAACAGACAATTTTAGGAACCTTATCAGCTCTTTAGTTTATTAATATAAAAATTTTCCGTTTCAATTACGCTTTAAAACAAACGTAACACAGTTGAAATATTTTATGCCACGGAAATTTAGTGACAAATGTCAAAATTATTTGCAGAACATTAATAACACATGTATACCAGATAATCGTCGATAATAAAAATTTATTTAATTAATTTAATAATTAATGAACATTAAATTAATTTCAATTAAATTAATTAGTCATTTAATTTACCGAATAAATTAATTAATTTCGAGTTGAAGGAGTGTCAATATAAATTAAATTCTAATCTCAAGTAGATTAGAATTATTAGATTATTCTGTACTTTGATGAGTTACACACTTCAAAAAATTTTTTTTCAACATTCGCAAATCGTTATTTATTTTCTTTTTCATTCCTTTTGTTATTTTCTTTTTCATTTCTTTATTTATTTTCTTTTTCATTTCTTTATTTATTTTCTTTTTTATTATTATTTTTACTTCTTTACTTATTTTTTTCAGAATTGTACTTTATTTTTTAAAAAAAGTTGAGAAAAAATTGGAGAAAAAACTTCCAAGACATTTTCAAAAAAAAAATTTATAACTATACAATCGAATATTTTATACACACAAAATATTAAAGAGATTTTTTAGTTTTTTCAATGGTGCGAAAATTTTGAGTGTTAAAATGGACGAAATTTTTTGTCAAATTGTTAGTTTCGAAAATTACTGACTGGAATAAAATCAAAAACTTACGTTTTTGATTTTATTCCAGTCAGTAATTTTCGGAACTAACAATTTGAAACTTTATGTTTTTTTTTCAATATCTACATGAAGCAAAATTATTACAGCTAGAAAAAAATATTTCAGTCAGAGTCAACTAAATTATTTATTTGTTTAAAAAAAATGTTGTTGTTTCCAATAAATTCAATTTGGTTCAAATTAAAAATTTTATTCGTTTCAAATAAATTTTATTTGGTTCAAATTCAGTTTATTCGATTCAAATTTCTTTTGGTTCAAATTTATTTTATTCGTTTCAAATAATTTTTTTTGGTTCAAATAAATTTTTTTTCACATCAAATAAACTTTATTTGGTTCAAATTTATTTTATTCGTTTAAAATTTATTTTATTTGGTTCAAATAAAAATTTTATTCGTTTCAAATTAATTTTATTTAATTCAAATTCAGTTTATTTGATTCAAATTTATTTTATTCGTTTCAAATAAATTTTTTTTTGTTTAAATAAATTTTTTTCACTTCAAATAAATTTTATAATAACATTTGAATTCGAAATTGAATTAAATATTTCGTTCATTTAATCGTTCAAAATTTTTGGGAAAACATTTTTCACTTGAGTGAAGTTCAAAACATTTATGATCAACACTTGGAAGAACATTTTTTTTTTGTTTTTAAACAAAATTTTTGGTTTAAGAATTTTTATTTTCTAAATTCTTGGTCAAGAAATAGCTTTTTTTAAACAAAAATTTGAAGGGAAAAAATTTTTCCTTCTAAATTGTTGATTATAAACTTTATGAACTTCATCAACGTGTTATTTTTTCTAATTTGTAACAATACGTGGCAAAATTATCTATTCTAAAATCGAGAATAGAAAACACTACTTATCAAATAAGTATAAGAACTTAAAATAACGAACCTACTAAAATTAATTAAAAATAATTAAATAATTAAATCAAATTAAAAACATTTCAAATAAATTTTTGAACAAAAATAATACTTAGTGTTTCTAATGAGAAATTAGATTTTACCCGGAAGTTGTCGTCGACATCCAGCGTTGGAAATTATTTGTATTTGGAATTTTTGAAATGTCACTATTTTCCCTATACTGAAAAAAAAATTTATTTGATTCAAATAACCGATTACTTGACTATTATCAATTAAATATTCATTTGAATCAATTAATTTTTATTAAAATAATTTTTATTTGAGTCAATTAAACGGTATTTGAAATTTTGAATTTGAACCAATAATTTCAGTATTTGAAGCAAATATGAATTGAACCTATTAATTGACTGGAATAAAAATTATTTAATTCAACTGATTTGATTGATTTTGATTTAATTGATAATACTCAAGTAATTGATTAAATTCTTTTGCAGTGTAGGAAGTTAAAAATATTTTTCAGATTTCTTTTTCGAAAAAATTGTTTTATTCTTTTCGCTTTTGTGTGAAGAGAATATTTTTCGACGACACTCAATGTCGACGCCAACTTCAAGATCGTGAGAAATTTCGATTTTGAGTAACGACTTCGTATGACAAATTATAATGCAGAAAAAAAATGAATGAATGATTTTCTAAACACATAATAACTATTGGTTTTTCGTAAAAACAATACGACGTTATTGTATTTAAAAATAAAAAAAAATGTATTTAAAAATAAAAAAATGAATTTTAAAATAAAAAAAAAGTATTTAAAATTTACTCCAGCAAATAAAAGTCAAAGATCAACGGTCCATCGAAAGATTCAAAGTATCCACAGAATCCGAATGATGTTTCTTAGTACTCATATCCAGTGTTGCGCTAAAATCACTTTTCACATTTGACATCGCCAAATCCTCTATTAATTTATAATTCGAAGTCTCGCCCATTTCCTTCTTTCTCTCACCGCCGAAATCCTCAATTAAATTTCTCACCGGTTCCTGCAATGTTGGCGACGAGGAAATTTTATAGGGACTCGGTATCATGTCCGCCGTTGGAAAATCACTCGATCTTCTCTCATTGATTTCAGGAATTTCCGGTGCCTTGCCAAGTGGTCCAAAGAGGCTGGCAATATTTCGCATATACGACGACGAGGCCTTTGTAAAGTCATTCAATGAGAAACCGGAAATTTTCGCCAATTCACTGGGCGAGAAATTTGTTAATTTCGAGAGATCTGGATATTTGGTCATTTGTTGCGTGAGACAATCGGTTAGGGGATAATCGGATGTTCTCGATTTTCCAGGATCGAGACCTGGGAGATTTAGTGTTTTCGTGAAATCCGGTGGTGTGTATTCGTATTCATTTTTTGTATTTTTCAGTGACACGGTCAATTCACCGGCTCTGAAAGTGGGAATTGAATCGGTTTGAAGAAGATGTGATTGTTGTTTGAGAAGATCTGATTTCAGGAGTCCAGTGTCTTGGGAATCTTTTCCTTGATGATGATGCGAGCCGAATTGTTTTGTTATAGAGGCAATGGAATTTGAATTGTCCGGTTTGAAATTCAATGGTGTGAGGAAAACATTTCCCGTCGCGTTCATTGCATTTGGTTTTAATAATTGCTCGGGAACTAAGGGGAATTTCATTATAAACGGATCCATTTGATTTAGTGAATTTGAAAAAGGTCCCTCCATACCGGGACATATCATTTCTCGAATTGCGTCCCAATACGATCCGTTCGTTCGATTTCGGCCGGGTAATTTTGACTGCAAAGAACTCTGGAAAAAAATATCAATAATTAATTGCTACTTGCGCTTACATCAGACCTCGTACTCATCTACTAAAATCTACTATTTACTATTTTTTCAAAGTTATGCCACTATTTCGGTACTTTTTCTAGATTTCAGCCATTAAAAGCTACTATTTCTGGTTTTTTTTTTTGAAAATTTACACTACTTTAAATTCGCTAATACTAGAAATCAAAAAACTATTCTCAAGAATTATAATCAAATTCTTTAAAACTATTCAATTATTTTCAAAAAATATTCGAAATTCAATTATTTTCAATATTTATAGTATTTTCATAAAATTTCGCAATAGAATTCAATTATTTAAAAACGAAATTGATAAAATTCATTTAAAATTCAATTATGTTCATAAATAATAAAATTTTCAATTTAGAATAGCATTTTTTTAAAAATTTCGAAAAAATCAATTATTTAACAAAATTTTTATACATTCTTCACAATAATTCAATTACTTTCACTAATAATAACATTTTTCATGGAAACTCAATTTAAAGAAAAATGTTGATAAAATTCTAAGCAAGAATTCAATTATTTTCCTAAATAATAAAACTCATGGAAGAATTTCAATTATTTTTAATACTATTTTTATTTCATTAATCGAAAAATTCAATTGTTTTCACAAATAAAATTTTCCCACAAGAATTCAATTATTTAAAATAAAATTTTTATAATAATTATTATAATTCGAAAAAATTAATTATTTAAAACAATGTTTATGAAATTCTTATAAAGAATTTTATTTTCACGAAAATAACAAAATTTTTCACAAAAATTCAATTCTTTTTAAATATTTTAATAAAATTTATCGCAATAATTCAATTATGTTCATAAATAATAAAATTCTTCTCAAGAATTAAATTATTTTTTAAAATTATAATAAAATTCTTAGCAACTATTCAATTATTTTCATAATTCATCGCAGGTTTTCAATTATTTTTAACAGAATTTTACAAAAATTTTTCGAAAAATGTAATTATTCTTAAAAATTAAATTTTAGTTAATTATTTAAAATAATGTTTATAAAATTCTTATGAAGAATTCAATTATTTTCACGAAAATAACAAAATTTTTCACAAAACCCAATTCTTTTTGAACATTTTAATAACATTTTTCGCAATAATTCAATTATTTTCATAAATAATAAAATTCATCCCAGGATTTTAATTATTTTTAATACAATTTTACAGGAATTTCTCAAAAATTGTAATTATTCTTAAAAATTTAATTTCAATTCCTCGGAAAAATCAATTATTTACAAAAATATTAGAATTTTTTACAGGAATTCAATTATTATTAAATATTATAATAAAATTGTTCGAATGAAATCAATTATTTTAAATACAATTTTAATTAATTTTTTTTATAAATAATTCAATTATTCTTTTAGATTTTAACAAAATTCTTCCCAAGAATTCAAGTATATTAAATAATTCTTCGAAAGAATTCAATTATATAGATAAATAAAAAAACTATTCTAAACAATTCAATAATTTTGAGGCGTTTTAATAAAATTCTTTGCAAAATTCAATTATTTTCATAAATAACAATATTCATCAAAAGAATGCAATTATTTTTAAAAGTATTAAATTTTTTCTTGGAAATTCAATTATTTTAAAAAATTCTACAAAAATCGTTTGCAAGAATTCAATTATTTTTATAAATAATAAAAAGCTTTTTAAAAATTCAATTATTTTCAAAAAAATTTAATAAAATGCTACACAGACATTCAATTATTATTCTAAAAAAATTTAATAGAATTCTTTGTAAAATTTAGTTATTTTTAAAAACTTTTCGCAATTCAATGATTTTCAATATCTACTATTTTCATAAAATTTCCAAAGAGAATTCAATTATTTAAAAATGTTTTTGTAAAAATCTTCGTAAGAATTCCATTATTTCATGAATAATAAAATTCGTTATTCTGTTCGCAAATTAAAGTTAGATGTTGTTTGCTTTTTTTATTTCCCAACTTTTTAAATAATTTTTCTGTTCAAATATAATTTTTAAATTAATGTATTGAAAATCATTGAATTCTTATAAAGAATTTTATCAAAAAATTCAAAAATGATTGAATTCCTTCAAAGAATTAAATTATCTATAAAAATAATTGAATTCCTGCGAAGAATTTTATTAAAATTTTTTAAAATCCTAATTAAATTCTTTTGAAAAATTTCTTTGAATTTTTTTAATTAATTGAGTTTTTTTTTAATAATATGAATTGAAAATTTTGAAAGTAATTGAATTTTGCATTGAAAATAATTGGATTTTTTAGACAAATTTTATTAGTTTTGAAAGTAGGTAACTGAATTCCTGTGAAAAATATTGCATTAATTTTTGAAAATAATTCAATTATTTTTAGACTTTTTATAAAAATTGTATTGAAAATAATTGAACTTTGATAAAGAATTTTATTAAAATTTCTAAAAAATAATTTAATTGTTTAAGAATTTACTTATTCAATATTTTCGGAAATTATTTTGATGAAATTTTAATTAAAACTTTATAGAAATTGAATTTTTCCTGAATTTCTAAATTAAATTATTCAATTCTTCAGTAATTTTGTTATATTATTTTTAAATACTTATATTGTTATTTATTTTTCTACAAGAAATAAATTCTTAAAAAATTGGAAATTCAAATCTTTTCAAGTTTAATTATTTCTAAAAATAAAAATTACAACTGCAATTCTTCAAAATTCAATTATTTTGTAGAATTTTAAATAAAATTTTTCACTAAATCAATTATTTAAAAAATTGGAAAGTTCATTTAAAATATGTCTAAAATTCAATTTTTTTTACGTTTTAACTTAGTTTCTGTCGATAAGAGATTCGAAAAAAAAATATGGACTGTCTTTGTACAGAATAGGATGTACTTTTTGTGTATTTTATTTTTTTTTCTTTCTAAATGAGGGAATCCTGTAAATGAATGGCATTTTTGTTGCAATTAATGCGATGGACTTTTTTTGTGATTAGTTATCTGCAGTACATTTAGCGATAAGAGTTGTAAGTGACAATATCCCGAGAAGTTAATTATTTATTGTCAAGTTCAAGAACTACAAGCACTGTCAAGGACGTTTTGCGCATTTTTTTCTTTTATCAATTTTAATCTCACTTACCCTCAACCTTTCGAGATAAGTCGTATTGCCATTGAATATGGTTTTGAAATCGATCCCACCTTCCAATTTGTAATAGTCGATACATTTTTTCTGCAAATTATAAATTAAGTTATTACTAAAATTACAAAAAAATTTCTAACAAATTTTTCTAAAACTTGCATGTTCGTAAATTTCTAAACATTCAATCGAAAAAAATTCATTTTATTTCTTTTCGAAATTCGAATTTTATTCGGAATAATTTTATAACGTCACATAATAAAATATAATTCACAAGGTTGCTACAAAAATTTGATTTTATTTTTCCCTGATTTTCAGATAGAATTTTTACTTTTCCCCTGAGCCTAATAAATATTTTTTTTATATTAAGATTACAAATATTTAAATATTTTTAATCTTAAAGTATAAAAAATATTTTCACATTGTTTTAAAAAATTAGTTTATAAATTTATGGTGAACAGAAATATAACAAAAAAAATCAAGGTTTTGTATTAGAATCCGTGGTAATTTCAAAATTTATAATTTCAATAATTGAAATTCAATAATCAATAATAATAATCAATAAATTTAATTTATTTATGAAAATTGTAAGCGTGACTTATCAAAAATTTAATTACTTTTTGAATCAAAAGTTTTGCGTTTTTTAAATTTTGATTCATAATTTTTTCGCAAATGTATTGAAAATTCAAAATTTCGAATTGCAAATTCGTGAAAAAGAAAAATAGAAAATTATTAAAAGAAAGTAGATGTTGAAGATTAGAAAGAAATAATAAAAAATTTTAAAAAAAGGATTATCGAAAATTTACGTAAGAAAAAATAAAAAATTGTAGGAATTTTAAGCAATAGAAAAAAAAGAGAAAATTATATGAAATTTAAAAAATTTGCACTTACAATCTCTTCTAAAGCGTCTTGTGAGAGAAATTGCTCCTGAGACAAAGTGTAACTCAAAAGCATTGGTCGTGGATATTCATGGGGTCTATTTTCCGGCGGTGGAAGAGACCAAAAAATGTTGAAATTAGATTCGTAGCAATTGCCATCAGTATTATAGGGAGCTGTAAAAAAAATTGTTTACACATTACATTAATTTCCATTATTTCCAATGCTAGAAAAATATTTTTATTTTGTTTTATATTTTTAGAAAAATATTTAAATAGGAAAAAAGAATAAATTCTGTCCATTTGAATGTTTAAAAATTAAGAAAAAAAATTTTAATTAAAATTTTTCTGGAAAAAAATACTCACAACATACGAGACCGACACAAGGTGTGTAACTATTATCACTGAGGCCTTTCATTTTAATTTGATAATCGAGCTGAGAATCCACATCTCTGAGTGATGGTGATGCATGTGTCCGGGGATGAGAATGATACCAACCGACCAAAATCATTCTTTTCCATTCCATAGCCCTCGCTATTTCCGCTTCAACAACAGCTGCTGCTGTTTTATCTTTGCCCGCGTATCGACACGGAAATGCTCCCAATATCGAAAGGGCTGAAAGAATTTTTTAAATTTATTTTCAGAAAATAAAAAAGTAGACAAGAAAATTGAATTTGGATAATAAATATTAACTTTGCTAAAAATATTTTCGACACTATATTCACCCAAAGAGAAAATTTATATTTGTTTCACAGCCAAATGAAAATTTGTTTCTTACAAATAAATTTTATTTGGTCCAAATAAAACTTTATTTGTTACCAATGAACTTTACTTGATTCAAATAAAAATTTATTTCTTACCAATGAATTTTATTTGGTTTAAATAAAAATTTCTTTATTATCAAAGAATTGTATTTTGTTGAAATAAAAATTTATTTGTTGCCAATAAATTTTTTTTTGGTTCAAATAAAAATTAATTTGTTTACTAATGAATTAAAATTAATGAATTTTAATTCATTAGTAAACAAATTAATTTATTTCTTACCAATGAATTTTATTTGGTTTAAATATAAATTTATTTATCATCAACGATTTGTATTTTTTTCAAATAAAAATTGATTTGTTACCAATAAATTTTTTTTTCTTCAAATAAAAATTTATTTGTTTACCAATGAATTAAAATCCATTTATTTGGTTCAAATAAAAATTTTATTTCCGTAAAAAAAATTTTAAATAATTGAATTCTGCTTGTAAATTTTATGAAAATAGTAGATATTAAAAATCATTGAATTGCGAAAAGTTTTTAAAAATAATTAAATTTTACAAAAAAATTATATTAAAATGTTTTAGGATAATTGAATGTCTGTGTGGTATTTTATTACATTTTTTTTGAAAAAAATTGAATTCCTAAACAGCATTTTATTATTTATAAAAATAATTAAATTCTTGCGAACGATTTTATTAGAATTTTTTAAAATAACTGAATTTCCAAGAAAAAATTTATTACTTTTAAAAATAATTTTAATTCCTGTGATGAATATTGTTATTTATAAAAATAATTGAATTTTGCAAAAAATTTTATTAAAATGCCTCAAAATTTCGAAGAAATTTATGTAAAGAATTGGATTTTTATGATGATTTTTGATATTTATCGAAATAATTGAATTTTGGAAAAAAAATTTATTAAAATTCCTTAAAATAATTGATTTTATGTGGAAAACTTTGTTATTTATCAAGAATTTAAATTCTTTTGCAGAATTACTTTAAAATTTTTTGAAAATAATTGAATTTTTGCCACGAATTTTATTATTTTATTGAATAATGGAATGTTTCTTAAATTTGAATTTATTTAAATCTTAAATTTTTTAAAAATTGCATTAAAAATATTGGAAATTATGCGATGAAAATAATTGAATTCCTAAATTAAATTTTATCATTCATAAGAATAATTGAATGTTTACGTACAATAATTGTATGAAAAATTTTTTTCAGTAATTAAATTATTTGATAAATTTTATGAAAATAGTAAATATTGAAAATCTTTGAATTGCGAAAAACTTTTGAAATAATTAAATAATATTAAAAAATTCATTCTGGTCAGAATTAAAAAGAAAATTTTTGAAGTTTTTTTTATTAGAATTCTTGGTAGTTTCATAATGTATGAGGCAAACAAGAAAGAACAAAAGACACAAAAAATTTCAGAGTTTTCTTATGAATTCTACAAATTTAATATTTTCCAGTACTTTTAATAAAAATCCCTGACTTTTCCCTGACCATTTCTTCTTTGATTTGAATCAAATAAATTTCTTTCCCAGAACAAATGAAATATTTCTCTGATCGCTTTTAGACGACCCCCTAGTATTAATTAATTAATTAAAAAACATTACTGTGAGAATTGATGTCCCAGTGTCCTCCTAAGTAACCACAGACTTCTTTATCAGTTAAGTGACAATGTAGGTCAACAAGAAGTGCCGCAGTTGCGGAAATTGTCACTAAAAAAGGTTGAATTTTTCCTAAAGTACTGAAGGATGTTAGTTCCACCATTGTGCTCATGTCCCTGAAATTAATTTGCGACAATTGTCATTTTTTTTTGTTGAAAAACATTGACTCTAAAATATTTTCCCTGTTTTCTGTATTTTTTTTTTTTTTTTTTTTTTTGAATCAACGTTAGATTTAAAAATACAGAAAACACTGAAGATATTCAAGATCGATTTCAAAACAATGAAACCGGAAGATAGAGGACAAAAAGAGATAAGGAACTTCATTTTTAACATATAGTCTTGAAACAATTCTTTCAGAAAAAATATTTTTTTTTTAATACTTACATTGCATGACTTCGAATTCCGAGATTTGTGTGTTTTACTGGCACCCTGACAATAGGGGGCGGGGGAAGAGGTTGTGGTGGAGGTTTTTCTTGATTATCTTCTATTGTTTCATTACTAATGTCCATTACTTCTTTCTCCATTTTTAAGTTTCTGAAAATAAAAAGCAGAAAATGTAAAATTCGTTTCTAATTAAATTCACCAATTTGTAACCGTATTAAAAATCTATTACAATTTAGTTAATTATTAACAAAGTATAAATTTTTTTGATTTATTATTTGATTAAAAAAAAACTATTATTTCGTTGCAAAATTTAAAAGAAAGAAAATGTATTTTTAAAGCCAACTAAACTTTTTACTTGTTTCAATTTTCAAATAAATTTCAGTTGGTTCAAATAAATATTTTTTCTTAATTGCAAAATAAAAATTTTATTTGTAGAAAATAAATATTTATTGGGAATTTATTATTTATTTGTTATTAATTTATTTGTATAGAAAATAAATTTTAAAAATTCTATTCAATATACAAAATACAATTTTTATAATTGTTCCCAATATTTAAAACAAATAAATAATTTAGTAGGCTCTGATAAAAATTTTTTCTATAATTTAATAACCGAAAAGAGAAGAAATACAAAATTAAAAAAAAAAATCTTATTTGAAAATTAAGAAAAATCGTCCATTTAGTTTCAAATTTAAAAGAATTTTATTAACAAACCCATTGTTAAAAATATTAAACATTAAAATTGGAATAAAGAAAATTAATAAAAGTTTATAAAAAATGGTTAATAAATAAATGTGTCATATTAAACAGTATTAAAAATTAAAAAAAATAAATTAAAATAAAAAGAAAATTATGTTAAAAATAAAAAAATTATCTACAAAAAGAATTTTTAATTCTAAAGCAAAAAAATTTCCCGCCAATGTTTGGTTTTGAAAAATCTGTCAATTTGACAGTTTTTAAGCGCATTAATATTTACATATTGAAAATGAACAAATTATTTTTGTTGTACATAAAAACTAGATGCATTCTTAAGAGAAGATACATAAATAAAAAGGGAATAAAACACTGCAACTGTACTAGAGAATAAAATCAATAACTTACGTGTTTTCAAATTGAAGCAATTATATAATAAAATTGTTTTGTAAATAACTACAAATTCGAGGATAAATAAAATGCTTTCATTATTTCTGGGACTTTTTTCTAAACAACAACTGCTTACAATCAGTTTTATTCTGTCATGGAGAATAAAAATTATTAGAGGAGGGAAAGTTTACTCAGTAAATTAGGGTTCTGCTTTTACTGACTTCTAACAAGTTCTGACTGAACTAAAATGTTCTGCGCGGAAAAATTTAAAATTTCTTAATTCTTCGAAATTCTTTTATATTATAAAGTCAAAAAATTTTTATTTGCAAATTTTTTTTTTAATTTGATTGAAAGCAATTTTAAATATTGAAAATAAATATAAACGCAAATAAATATTTATTTTAACAATGAAAAATAATAATAATATGATAAAAATGATTTTTGAGTTAAATAAAGTTTTGTTGAGTGAAAAAATGTTTTATGAGTCAAATAATGTTTTACTTGATTGGACAAAAGTCCTAGTTAATTAAATGACCGTTTTGAGTCAAATAAACTTTTATTATTTGGCCAAGAAAACTTTTATTGAGTCAAAAGAACTTCCATTGAATGAAATAAGAAAGTATAATGAATAATATTAAACAATAATATTATTAAGTTATAATGAGTCAAATAAAGTTTTCCTGAGTCAAATAAAGTTTAAGAGACTCAAATATATTTATTTCAATGAAATAAAGTTCTATTATAGATAAAAAAAAATTAAAGAGAATCAAATAAAACTCGTTTCGACCAAATAAAATTCTATTAGGACAAGTAAAGCTCAATTAGTGAGTCATACAAATAGTTTTTAGTCAAATAAATTTTCACTGAGTTTTTTATTAAATCAAAGACAGTTTTATTGAGTCAAATTATGTTCTAGAGATTCAAATAACGTTCAATTTAGAAAAAAGAGTTCTAGTGGATCAAATAAAACTTGAAACAAACAAATATGGTTCTATTGACTCAAATAAAGCTCAATTTAATCAGCTAAATTTATTTTTGATAAAATAAAGCTCACATTTGCCAAATAAAATTATTTTTAATTAAAGAAAACACAATGTGACAAAATACAGTCCTATCGAATTAAATATAAAGATTTATTGAAACAAACATTGTTAAAATGAGTCAAAAAAATTTGTTTGAGTTAAATAAAGCTCAATTTAGCCAAAAAAATTTCTGTTGAAATAAATAAAGGTTAAATTAAGTAAATAACGTTCTATTAAGTCAAATAAAGCTCAAGCTAACACAATACACTTATATTAAACCAAATAAAGCTGAAGTTAGTTAAATAAAGTTCTTTTCAATCAAATTAGTCAAATAAAGTTCTATTTGATATAAATAAAGCACAATTTAGCCAAATAAATTACTATTCGATTAAAAAAACTCAATTTAGCAAAATAAAGTTTTTTAAAGTGAAATAAAGCTCAATTTAAGTAAATGAAGTTATTTTTAAATCAAATAAAGCTCAATTTAGTCAAATAAATATTCTATTCTATAATAAATTTTATTCGATCAAATAAATTAGAACTAATATTGTTCGAGTGGGTCAAATGAAGCTTTTTTGAATCAGATAAAGACAAAGTTAGCTAAATAAATTTCTATTGGGTAAAATAGAATATTATTAATTCGAATAATATTCAAATAGGTCGAATGAAGTTCTATTGAGTCAAATAAACTTTAAGTTTGCTAAATAAAGTTCTTTTCAATCAAATAAAGCTTAAATTCTCCTGATAAAGTTTTTTTTTGAAACAAATAAAGCTCTTGTTAGATCGATAAAGTTCTTTTTGTATCAAATAAAGCTCTAGTTATCTCTATGAAGTTCTATTTGAGTCAAATAAAGCTCAATTTAGACAAATAAAATTCTAAAGAAATTAATAAAGCTCATGTAAGCTAAATAATGTTCTATTGTATGAATGAAAGCTCCAGTTATAGCTAAATAACATTTTATTGAATTCAATATAAAGCTTAAGCTAGCAAAATACAGTTCTTTCAATCAAATAAAGATTTATTTATCCAAACAAAGATCTATTGAGTCAAAAAAGCTCAAATTATCCTGTAAAGTTTCTTTTTAGATCAAATAAAGCTCAAGTTAGCTAAATAAAGTTCTTTTCAATAAAATAAAGCTCAATTTAGCCAAATAGAGTTCTAAAGAAATTAATATAGCTCAAGTAAGTTAAATAACGTTCTATTGTATGAAAAAAGCTCCAGTTAGCAAAAAAAAGTTTATTGTTATAAATGAAGCTTTAATTAGCTACATAATCTTCAATTTGAGTCAAATAAAGCTCTATTTTTCCTGATAAAGTCATTTTTGAATCAAATAAAGCTCAAGTTAGCTAAATAAAGTTCTATTTGAGGCAAATAAAGCTAAATTTATCCAAATAAAGTTTAAAAAAAAATAAATAAAGCTCAAGTTAAATAACGGTCATCTATTATATGAAAGAAAGCTCCATTTAGCTAAAAACAGTTTATTGTTGTAAATAAAGCTCTAATTAGATAAATAATGTTCTATTTGAGTAATATAAGGCTCCAATTATCCTGATAAAGTGATTTTTGAATCAAGTAAAGCTCAAGTTAGCTAAAAAAATTCTATTTGAGTCAAATAAAGCTCAATTTATCCAAATAAAGCTCTAATTAGCTAAATAATATTTTATTTGAGTCAAGTAAAGCTTAATTTAATCAAATAAATTCCTATTTGTTCAAATGAAGTTCTATTAAATCAAATATTGTTCGAATGGGTCAAATTTTGATTCAAATAAATCTTAATTTAACCAAATAATTTTTTTTACTTAATTAATCGAAAAATTATCCTTGATATAAATAATATCTTTAAATAGTTAATAAAAAAACGAAAATTGAAAATTTTTTCAACTCAAATAAATTTAATTTTTTTTTTTGTTCAATTTTGCAAAAAAAAATGTCCTTTTCAAATCGAGCGCCAAATGCAGTTTTAGGTCGTGATCGTCGGCGTTTTTTTTTCAGCCACAGTACTCCCTTATTTTCATCCAAGTATCACCATGGTAACGTCCAATCATCTTCCCCCGCTTATACAAAGTCCGAGTCCCTTTCTGACTCAGACGCACTAGTTCGGCTCCGACAGTCAAACGAGTAGGTTTGTGGTTTCTTTCGTTCGGATTTATTCTCTCCCAACATAAATTTTGTGTCAAATTTTCCCCGGGGGTGTTAAATTCGGACTCGTAAAAGAAAAAGTGAGTGCCCGCGGGCTCTCGTTACTTGTTTCAATAGAAAATTAAAAAAGAAGAAAATAAAATAGAAAAAATTCAAAAAATTACTAAAGACTGTAAATTTTTCTCTTATTATTTGAATAGTTGAGTTTTGCCAGGGGGCTTGACCTATTCGATAATGAGGGACATGGCGGGCAAAATTGCCGAATTAAAATTCGAGGCACCCCTGGCACGATTCGAAGAGGAGGACACGGCCAGTATCAAGAATATGAACCTGCTGACAGGTGCGAAATTCTTTTTTTTTTGTATTAATTTTATTTTTCTCTCTTCCTTTTTTTTTAATGTATATACACAAGTGTGTGTATATATATAGTTGTCGCTTCAATAAAATACTCTGCTTATTTAAAACTGTGTCACGGCTTCGGTCATTCCATAATCGGATATACGGTCAAGCTAGAAAACATACATAATTTACAGATTCCAGACATCATCTCTTCTCTCATTACGCAAAATCGTTATTTTGCTTCTGCTCCGTTGTTGATGAATGATTGTTTTCTTTGGAGTTTCTGTTCTAAATAAGTTGTTGATTTTGTAAACATTCAAAGTTCTAAATTGTAGAGAGGAAAATTTACAAAATTAGATTTTTGTTTTAAAAAATTGTCATAAATAGAAATTAGTTTGCAGTTACAAATTTTTAAAATTCAGATGATAGAAGGAAATTTTTGTTTTTATAGATACTTTCGAAAAAATTACTGTCATTGAAAAAATATTTATTTGAATCAATTTAACGATTGCTTGCCTGTTATCAAATAAATATTAACAAATCAAGTATTAATTAATCAAATAAATATTAAGTAGAATCTAATTTTATTTAAATCAATTATTTACGGCAAACGTCAAGTACTGAAATATTTGGTTCAATTACAATTTATTGATCCGCGCAAGTTTTGAACGTTCAAATGAATAAAGTATATTTTTTATTAAAAATAGTTCCATGAATTATTATTATTATTATCCCATCAATTATTGATTGTAATAAAAATTAAAAGCTATGCATAAATTTTACAGGAAGAGAAAATAAATATTAAATTTTATGAAAATATTTTATTTCGGGAGAAAATGCGACAAAGCGAAATTTTAATATAGAAAAAATAATGAAGTTTATAAACAAACCCGTGTAAAATTTATTATAATTATTTGAAATATTATAAATTAATTAATTAAAAAATGATTAAAAAGTACAAATTAATTTCTTACTGTCCTTCAAAATTTTAATTACTAAATTTCAATGAACCACAAATATACAAAATACTTTTTATTAAACATATTTTCAGAAATTACTGATTGTAAAAAATAAAAATAAAATAAAAATTAGAAACTTGAATTTTGTATTTAAAAACCTCAGGATTATTTTTATCATAGTCATTCAAAATTATTATTAAAGAAATTTTAATTTAAAGAACTGAATCAATTTCATTCATTTGAACATAAATTTCATTTTATTTTCTTAAAAATTTTTGAATTTTGTGTATAAAAATTTCACTTTGTCGTTTTTTTCTCTTCGAATTGTAAAACACTTTCAAAAAATTTTATATTTATTTCCCTTCTTCGTATTTTTGAAAACTATCCACATAATTAAATTTTCTGATAGTTTAATCATAATTTTTATATTGCAAAATTATTGCAATAAAGAATTGATTTTGAAAAAGAAATAAATAAATTTTTTTCATTTATGAACGTTCGGAACTTTATGATCCTAAAAAATTTATTTGAATTATGAAATAAAAATTATCTTGGGCAAAGAAATATTTATCTGGTTCAAGAAAACATTTATTTGATTCCAGTAAAGAATTATTTGATTCAAGTAAATAATTCCATGATAATAGACCATTAATCAGTTATTCTATGAAATCAATTTTTTTTCAGTGTGTTTATTAAAAAAATTAACTCTAAAAATTAAAAATAGTAACAAAAATTATTTAAATTTAACAAAAATTTATTAAAAAAATTAATTCTAAAAATTAAAAATAGTAACAAAAATTATTTAAATTTAACAAAAATTTATTTAAAAAATTAATTCTAAAAATTAAAAATAGTAACAAAAATATCCACGTTATCTTGAATGTTTTAAACTTTGGGGATATTTACAAAATTTTTTTCGTTTTTGCATTATTTTAGATTTAATATTGAATTTTGAATATTAATTTTTTCTTATTAGTTTCAATTTTAATTTAAATTTTAAAAACGGTATATTAATAAATAAACTTTACAATATTTAAGTGTTTGAAATTTGAAAATAAAACTAAAAAAAAGATGAGTTTAAAAAAAAATTAAGTATTTAAAATTAGGCTGATTAAAAATTGATTTTCTGAATACCGAGGAATAACAATGTAAGGAATAAATAATTATGTTGAACGAAATACTTTTTGTGTTTCAATACTTTTTAGAAAAATGACTTAACATTCATTGAACTAGAAATTAATTTCCCGTACTATAAAAAAAACAACATTTTTCTCATAAAATTAATAATTAAAAAATAATAAAAATGCTCATTTTAATATTCGTATTGAAATAAACATTTTTTTTTTTTTGCAACAAACGAACCTTTCAATGTTTATTCCAAAGTAAATAAAGATCAATTATTTTAATATTAAAAATTTTAATTTATAACAATTTATTCTACATTTTGAATTAGTTACAATTGTAAATTATTAATTACAAAATTGTATTCTAATTACAATTTATTCTAAATTTTGAATAAGTTTAAAAATTAAAATTGTAAATTATTAATTATTAATTATTAATTATAAAATTGTATTTTAATTACAATTTATTCTAAATTTTGAATAAGTTTATATCAACAAGTTTAATAATTGTAAATTATTAATGTAAATTATTAATTATTAAATTGTATATAAATTAACTGCAGTTGTAATTAGTTAAAAAGTATAAAAATAAGTATAACATGCATGTACATAAATTTGCAATCTGAAATTACGAAATGTAGTTCAAAAAATATAAATTAACGAATTATTCAAACATTTTTTTTTTTTAATTTTCGTGCGTGATAATAGCTACAAAAATAATGAAGTGAAATTCTTAACGTTGTATCATTGAAGCTATATATTACACTGTGAGGAAAATGATTAAGAGAAAATAATTAGGCGTAGAAAGCAATTGCAAGTTTCGTGAGAGACGAGAAATAATTAATTATTGTAAATCGTAACGGACTAAATACATCAATCCCATTGAACTACATTTATCAATTTTCAGTTTCGTGCAGAAAGCAACGCGCGCAGTTAAAGCAAAAATATTACAGACACTGCAATAATAAATTCAAATCATTATTACAAATCGTTATTAACCGAAAATATAAATTTATAACTGAATTTAATTAATTTAATTAATTTCATCAATTTAATTACTTTAATTAATTTAATTAATTTAACAAATTTAAACAAAGTGAATAAACAAACAAAAAAAAGTAAAAATGGAAAATTTTTAAGTCGTTTCTTTTATATTTACTTTTCTGTATTCTTCCAATATTTTCAAGTTCCTAAAATTCTCAACTATAAAATAAACGAAATTTATTTATTTCCTCTTCAAATTAAAAATTACAGTAATATTCATTCAAGTATTAAAAATAAATTACAAAGTTTCAAAAAGTTTACATAAATAAACTTTTTAGTATAGTCAGTAATTTTTATCAAAATATTTTTGGAGTGGAAAAATATTTCTTTTATTTGAATGTTCAGAATTTTTTAATTATATGATTTTTAATAAAAAAAAAAAAATGAAAATACAATAAATTCTTAAAAATTTTTAGAGTAAGAAATATTTCATTTATTTCAACGTTGAGAAATTTTGAAATATATTATTTTTAATAAAGAATAAAAAGAGTGAAAAAAATGTCAATAACGTTCAAAAATTTTGAAAGTATAATTTTTAATAAAAAATAAATTAATAAAAATATTTAGAGTGAAGAAATGTTTCGTTTATTTGAACGGTGAGAAATTTTAAAATATACCTACAATTTTTAAAAAAGAATTTTTTAATAAAGAATAAAAATAAAATTTAAAATTAAAACATAAAAATATAATTTGTCCTGAAATAATATGGATTGATTATACACGAGTTTGTCGCGCACTTTCTTAATTTTTGAGTGGTACTTTTCCAATTTATGAATCTCTCCGGCTCTGCTATATTTGGAACGCAAAAATAAAATAAAAAAAATATGTCAAGACAGATGTGAAACTTGAAGGAAGAATTCTAAACATAGTTTGTAATAATATTTTATATTATATGTCAACTGGGAAAATTTCGAGTTTGTAAATGTCTGTTTTTTAGAGGGAAATTTGAATTTTGTGGATATTTGTAACTGTATAATAATTGAGATCTCACGGAAATTTTATGCGATGCTGCGGTGTGATATAGCGTGAAATGCAGTAGTATAGTATAGTAGATCTGGAATTCACTCGGGAATTTATACACTACAAGATTAAAAGCATTCCACTTATAGAATGAAAATAGACAAGTGTCACTCTTTATATAATTTCTTGCAATTCATTTGTTTGTTTTTTTTTACTATAAGAGAAAAAGTAAATTTTACTTACGTGTAAATACATTTTACTTATTTTAATGAATTTTGGTGGTAAAATTAAATTTTACTAGTATAATAATAAATTTTGTTAGCAGAAATAACTTTATTAGTAAAATAGTAATTTTAGTAGTGGAAATAAATTTCAGCAGCAAAAAAGTAATTTTAGTAGTAGAAATAAATTTTAACAATAAAAAAGTCATTTTACTAGTAGAAATAAATTTCAACTGTAAAAAAAGTAATTTTACTAGTAGATATAAATTTCAGCTGTAAAAAAAGTAATTTACTAGTAGAAATAAATTTTAGCTTTAAAAAAAGTAATTTTACTAGTAGAAATAAATTCCAGTTGTAAAAAAAGTAATTTTACTAGTAAAAATACATTTTTCTAGTGAAAATTAGTTTCAGTAGTAATGATAAATTTTGTTAATAAAAATAAAGTTTAGTAGTAGAAATAAATTTCAGCTATAAAAAAAATAATTTTACTAGTAAAAATACATTTTTCTAGTAGCAAATGATTTTGCTAGTGAAAATAAGTTTCAGTAGTAATAATAAATTTTGCTAATAAAAATAAAGTTTAGTAGTAGAAATAAATTTCATCTATAAAGAAAAGTAATCTTACTAGTAGAAATACATTTTTCTAGTAAAAAAAATGTTGCTAGTGAATATATAGATTTTCCTAGTGAAAAT